AGATTTTGCTATGTTGTCCAAGCTGGTCTCAAACCCATGGGCTCAAAGCAATCTGTCCTTCTCAGCCTCTCAAAGTGTTGGCTGTGCATACATGAGCCATTATTCCTGGCTACATTCATTATCTCAGTTTATCTACATTCAAGTTTGCTGATTCTTCCTTCTACCAATCCAAATTTGATTGATTTACTCTTCAACTACAGAATTTCCATTTGGTTCTTTTTGAATAATAAATAATAAAATCAGGAACTGGGTAGAGGATGGAACTAGACATAAAAGATTTAGAAATGGTGCAAAAATTAGATAGATAAATAGATTGAGTTAGAGTCCAGAAATTTCTTTTAAATCATTGAAAATTAGAATGAAATTGATCCTGAACCACTAACCATTCTTTGAAACCCTTGTTGCTACTTATAACCAATGAATCTATTATGCTGTGTTGGAGTCATCTCTTTGCTGATAAGTCTCCTGCACTAGTCTAGGGAAGGGTTCTTTGTTTCATATTGCTTATATTTCTAGGATCTGAGCCATTATAGGCTCTCAATAAATTAGCTGAATGCAGTAACAAATTAGAGAATTGTTTTTACAGCCTTACTTTTAGGTTGACTCAGTTTTAATATGATGTGACATTTTTAAACATCTTGGACTTACTGCATGTGATCTGTATTTTCCTTTCCCTGTGGTTTTCTTTGATATAGATATGCAAGATAAGTGAATAATTTACTTTTTTGATATTAGGTTGGCAATGTTGTTTTAAAAAGCACAACTATAGATTTAGAAGAACTGAGTTCAAACTATACATCTATAACCTCTTACTGGTTCAGTAGCCATTAGCAGGTTATTTGCATTTTCTGAATCTCAGTTTAATCATCAGTGAAATAGGAATTATCTTGTCTCTCAGTTTTTTAAAATATTACAATAGAAAATACTAAATTAGAATATTAGAAAACATACGGTATCTGGCAGATAGTATGTTCTCAGTAATTTTTTATTCTAAATATTGGTCACAGAAAAGTAATACATCTCAGAAGATACATTTGGAAGCTCATTTTTTATTTTCTGAAATTGAGGATTTGACACTCTCCACTTTCAGAAATTACTCATAATCATTTGGGTAGTTGGATTGCCTTTTCATGGCTTTCATATAGAAGGCAAAAAATGTCCAAAAATACTGAGAAGTACAAAATGGTGCTAGTAATGCAACTCATGAACATTTTCCAAATTTGCTACCAAAACAGTCGGTAAAATGTGCCGTTTCCACATCTTGTTCATAAAGGAAACAAAATAATACTTAATTATGTAATAACATACAGTATTAAATCCCCCTGGGAAAAGAGTTGGTTTTTAAATACTTTGAAAAGAAACTTTCAAGTTAGTGATTTACACAGTTAATTATAAACAACAAGACTTGTAATTAAGTGTTGCCATTTTGGGTGGAATTGGTTTCACCCATCACTAATCCGTCTGTCCTTGTCTTTGGCCTTTGAGAGATTACGGGAAAATGCACACGATGAAAAGTTTAACTTGTCAAGTATAAATTTAGATGCAAAGTCCAGAATATCAAACACCACAAGTGATAATTATCACCACCTGGAAATAATTTGTACTACTGAAGAATTCTCTCTTTCTGCTGATGGGGAGATTTTAACCTCATGATCACTCAGGCACTCCCTACAGTTTACAGTGATGTATCTTGTGGTTCATTCCCAGTAGTCAACATAGCACCAAGCAATTAGTAGAACACTAGAGGATAAGTGTTAGCTCTGTACAATGTGACTAAGATTAAACTGGGAGCAAATTAGAAGCAAGTATGATTGTCCAACTTTTAAGTTGCTCGAAGTCCAGCTCAGTTACCTATTAACATTCAGGTTTCTGCAAAGTCTGGATCTTTTGTTTTAAAAAAAATAAATAGAATTTTTAAACAGTTGAATTTCCTGGATTATAGTTTAGTATCTTAACATATATATTTTCTCCTAAGGAAAAAATTTATTATGGAGTCTTCAGACATGTCTTTTTTCTTTTTAATAGGAGACCAATTTGGGGCCCCCAAAGCATTATCAGAAGACAAGTTATTATAATAAATAACATGGAATTTAAATACATTTTGCATAGGCATCGACTTATGGGTTTTGTGTCAAAAATTGTTTGGATTTTCTGATGGCTTTTTATATGTAATTTTTTTTAGCTTTATTAAGTTTCTGTGGTTGTTTTTGAGATTTCTTTATAGTCCTATGTAGGTAAGAGTTGATTTTGAAATTTTGGCTGCTTCTGTTTAAGATTTGATTCTCGTTCTCAAACATTTACATGTATAATTTTGAGAACACATTTTATTTAACACAATATAGTAAACAGAATGAATCATAACTATGAACGTTTTCCAGAAGCATTTCTTAGATAAGTTTTTATAAAAAGAAAACAAAACAACATGTAAGATTTAGAGTGGAAGAATATACTTGTAGTTAAGTTCCTTGTTGATTTAAAAATTATATTTGGATTTATTTTGGCAGGGTGGGGGAAATCATCTAATAGAATAATTTTATCTAACCAGAGGGAAGAGACAGAGAGAGACTCAAATATGTGTGAACTCCCTCTGTTGCTCTGTAATAGCATTTTATTCATGATACATGATGTGATAGGAAATTTTTGCTAATCTGTTAAAACAAATGTAATTTTATCTGAAGGCAATTTATAACTTTATTGAAATAGAATATAATGAAAGAACCCCCTACATGGAAAATTCTGACCTTCAAGTTTATGTTAATATTTTTAAATTATTAAAACATTAAAGATATGTATATTTCTCACCACTAAGGGGGAAAAAAAACTTTAGCTATATTTAGTAAGTACTCACTGAAGTCCCAAACATTAGGATAAAATGCAGGGCCTAACTGAGTAAAGTATCAATTGGGATGAAGACAGTGAACAGGTTGGCAAATTAGCCAATTGGATTTATAGTAACTTTTATGTTAATTAGAGTAAAATGAGAACATGCAAAAGTAGTATTGGCAAAAATGAGGAGTTGTTTTAAAATTACATAAATGGCATTTTAGAATGCTGTGAAATACTACTTTTATGGTAATCTAGAATTTTAAAACAATTCCTTTTAAGTTTAGGATTAAATGAATTACATTATGTAAAAATAAATCTTTGTATTGTGTACCTGTATACAGTTGAATAATTTTGGTAACACATACCTTAGTGCTTTACACTAATTGGCTCATTAATTTTATATTTTGATTAATAATCAAATTTTATTATTGTACTATTCAGTAATAACAAATTATGTTATGATGTGAAAATGGTAGAGTTGAGTGTATTTATTTTTGTAATAGTGGGCAATGTAATCATCACTCATAAAATGAAATGTGGGACTTTTGAGCCTGAAATATTATTCATATTATAATGCTCTTCAGTTTTATGAATAGCAATGAGAGCTGAAGCACTAACTTTGACTGTTATCCAAAGTAGGTGAATAAAAAGGCTTGACTCTCATATAGGCTAAGTTTTTTATTTTAGATACCTTTTTAAAAGAACTTTTATTTTTCACCTTCTCTAACCTAAAGCATTCATTTTATAGAAGGCAGTAGAGGATGTTCCTATTGTATTTGTAACTTTAAAACTAGTGTTTATATTTTACCCAAATAATTAGTAAACTGGTAGTTGAAAAGGAAAGAATTATGTAATGCAGTTTTTTCTTCATATTCTTCTGCTGCTTGAGTCTCATACCAAAACAGTTTAGTGTCAGGTATTATTACCACTTTCTGAATATCACTGTTTTTGATGTGCTCAATGTACCTTGATCTTCCAAAAGGAAGAACAACAAGAAAGAGAATGAGTTTTGAGGAGTTGTCTTTTTTGTCTTTACATGACACAAAGCATGTGTGAAACATGTTTTATTTCTCAGCAGTCCTTTGCTATGTGTTATGATCCTTACTCCCCAAATATCATCACACTGGGGTGATCAGGGTATTAGGGTTACAGCTTCAATCCCCAGTGTGATGGTATTTTGGGATGGGGCTTTTGGGAGATAATCAGGGTTTAAGGTCATAAGGGTCCTGATCTGAAGGGGATTAGTGAGCTTATATGAAGAGACACCAGAGAGCTTGCTCTATCTCTCACTCCCTGGCACACAAAGTAGAGGTCATGTTAGTAGATGAGGAGAAGGTGGCCATCTGCAAGCCAGGAGGGACATCCTCACTAGAAACCTGGACTCCCAACCTTCAGAACTGTGAGAAAATTTATTTCTGTTGTTTAAGCCAACCAGTCTATGATATTTGGTCCTGACAGCCCAAGCAGACTAAGACACCATGTTGAGAGAGAATTTAAAGTGAAACTACTTTTAAGTTTGCACAGAATGTAACTACATTTGATATTTAAGGGGAAAAAGCAAGTGTAGAGTTTGTAGGAAACTTTTATGTTATTTAATCCGTGTAAACATTGTACCTTCTTGAGAGTTTGCATGCTTAAAATATTTAATTATAACTCACTCATGATTTTTTTTTTCGGTAATAAACAGATTAGATGTAGAAAGCAGGCCCCTTAAAATTTTGTCTTGTTCAGAATCAGAGCGTTCACATATGTAGTCCCTGTGTGGCAATACATACAGGTTTTACCCTAACTGACAATATTAGAAATATTGGGACTAGTTTTCCTACTGACCTTGATTCACCAGAGGGTGGTGGGAGAGAATTTAGGAGGTATTCTTATACAGTGTGGTGACCAACCTAGTCCATAATCTCACAACTAACACTGAATCTTCTGTTTTCAAGCCATTAAAAGTTTCTGGAATTTACTCTCATATTCCGGAATTCACCAGTGTTGCTCCAGTATGATATTCAGGCTCATATCTCATCAATCACTAATTCATCTTCTGCTTTACTTCTTTGGTTTAGACCCTGTTCTCTTTTGTAAACTCTCATAGTAGCTGCTGAACTTCTCTTCTTTCCTGAGAGTTTGTTGTCTCTAATCTATCCTCCACTCTGTCAACAGAGTAACCTATATGAAATCTGATAATGGTCCTCTTTGGCTCTTGAATAAAACCCTTCTCTGCCTTCTTATCCTCGTGTTACCCAAATCCCTTCATGTATTCACGACTCTTGTGATGCAGCCTCATCCCCTGAAATTCCCCTTTCACGTTGTGTAGACCAGTCAGATTTATTCATTTACTACTTAAAGATTTTGAGCACTTTTTTTTTTTTTTTTTTTTTTTTAGAGACGGAGTTTCACTCATGTTACCCAGGCTAGAGTGCAATGGCGCGATCTCGGCTCACCGCAACCTCCGCCTCCTGGGTTCAGGCAATTCTCCTGCCTCAGCCTCCTGAGTAGCTGGGATTACAGGCACGCACTACCATGCCCAGCTAATTTTTTGTATTTTTAGTAGAGACGGGGTTTCACCATGTTGACCGGGATGGTCTCGATCTCTTGACCTCGTGATCCACCCGCCTCGGCCTCCCTAAGTGCTGGGATTACAGGCTTGAGCCACCGCGGCCGGCCTTGAGCACTTTTTATGTCCAGGAATACCAAGATAATTAGCACACAGTACCCGAGTTATGAATGGTCTCAGTATGAATCATATTCATGCTTCAGAACTGAGCTCAACCCTTCAAGTCCAAAGGGAAATCTTCTCTCATTGGTCCTACTATTAGGGAATAGCACTGTCCTGTATACTAACTGATCTCTTTCTAAAATTGCACATTATAATTAGTTGTTTAGAGCTTTATCTCCCTTCTAGGCTCTGAGCTTGCAAGACAGGGACTATGTCCTATCCACATATTTCAGATGCCAAGCTTAGTGCCTGATTGAAGTAGTCCTTCAGTCAATATTTGTAGATTTTAATTTACTGCAATATGCCTGAAAAGTCTTTGGGTTGTAGATTCTTCATCTATTCTCTGACTTAAAGTTTTCATCAGTCGAATATTTGCTATACTATTTATCATGCTATTTGCCATGTATAGTAAAAATTACACTCTGATATAATTACATTTCTTGCTTAGATTAGGTAGACTTATTTGAGAAATGCTGAACCAATTATAGGTATTTTGAAAGGAAAATCATAGTGCAAATATGTATTTTCCAGGGTCTGATAATCTAATCTGTAGATCGTTTTGTATGTTCAGCGACTCCCCCAATATCTCTCTCTAAAAATATCATGGTATCTTGAGTGTCAGTAACCCTTCGACTTCTTTTTCTTCAGATATTCACAGGCATGCAGTCCCTCAGATTTCATCGTTTCTCACAACAACAGCCCCATACGACCAGCAACTCAGAAACCCTGATCTGTCACGACAACCTCCCATTCTTTCTTGTACCTTCTCCATTTCCTCCACCTTTCTGAAACAAGAGCCTGTTTCCATCAGATGTCTTCATGCTCTGGATTCCCTGTTATGCTTCCGCTTGTGCTTAGTGATCCCTTTCTAGCTTTCTGGTCTTTATTTGACTGCCTATGTTATTCCTCCTGAACAAGGCTCTTCACTTTTTTTTTTTTTTCCCAACCCTTCTCGGCTATGTATTCTAAACCCTTGCTCTTTGTAAGTAACATCTTTTATTTTGCCGCAAGGGCTTCCACAGCTTCCTCCCATTCCTAACAGGGAAACTCCACCTTCTTTCCTAACCTGGTCTTCTCTAATCCCTTTCATCTGTCCTTCTGACCTCCACACTAGTCTTTGATTTTCAGTCTTCCTTTCTACCAATCTATTTATTTCTGCACAAAAGCATATTAAATTATCCCCTACCTTCTTAATATTTTCCTCTAAAGGTTTTTTCTCTTCCTTCAGCTCATGGCCTAGAGCTGAAAAGTTCCTGCCAGGTTAGGGTCATAGTTAATGGACTCAACAGTAATCAACAAGTTACTTGAATTTGCTAGTCTGTCTAGCAGCCTGATTTGCAAACATTTTTTATTACAAGAATACTTTGACCATTTAATATTAATAGAAACTTCAGAACTAGCCAGTTTAATATTTTCAGCTTTCACGATTACTTCAGTCTGCCTGATCTTTCCTTCTTAAAATTTTTTAGGCACCTGTGTCATTCATTTTTGCAGCTATCTTGTTAATTCACAAAATTAACAAACCAAAAGTTCTTTAGAGACCTATTTGTTCTGACACAAAAATCACTTTACATATTCTTTACTGCAATTGACAGCCCTGACAAATGGTTATGTTTCTCTCATGTAGTTGCTACATTTACCTTAGTATTACTCCACATTTTCACCCTGGTTTGCCCACGTATCTAAGTTCAGTCAGGGTGGACTATTTTTGTCTTGCCTTACCCAAGATTATACACCTAACTTGTTTCCTCGTACTGATTAAGTGCTCTTTCTAGACCAGATCCCTAGATTACCTGCCTATTTTTCCCAAGAAGACTGCACATTCTACCATGGCTGGAACTTGTCTTCAACCAAGCCTCTTACTGTCTCTATATTTCCCAGATTACTGCTGAATCTGGGGGTCAACATTTACTAATTCATGTCATGATATTTATAAAATATCTAAAAAGAAAGTCTGTTAAAATAAATGTTTGTATATTCTTTATGGTGAAATATTATTATGACATTGAAAGTCAGGCCTTCAAAGAATAATTAATGACACAAAATAGCTTATGAGATTTATTAGAAGGCCTAAAGTACTAATAACATGAAAGTTGTTTTTTTTTTTTTTTTTTAAATAATTAAGTCCTTCAGATTGGGAAGAAAATATAGGAACCCATAAGCAGTCTCAGCTTTTGGTTACCCTATCTTTACCCCTTTCTCTCTGATGAACTTTTTCATTTAATACATCTCTGCCACTTTAATTTTTTAAAGATCTCCTCTACACAAAGCACCTTTATATTTCCCTTCTAGTTACCATTAGATGTCTGTTTTTAAGTGATTAGTATCCTGTGAATGTTAAGGAGCTGTGCTTTCTACATGCTGGTTTACTGGAAACTGAAAACTAGAGTTATCAAGTAACTATCTGGCATTGCTCTCTCATTTTCTATTTTTCTATTTTTATATAATTTTTTTATATTTTTCTGGTCAATGTAGTGGAAATTGTTGGCACAAAATAAGTAAATACACTGGAGACTTTCTGTAATGTAATACAGATTTTATGCTGTGGAAGCATCGTGTTTTGTGACACTAAGTGCTCAGTACATATTAGTTGTTATTATAACTAATTTCCTATTATAAAGGGATGCACAATAATCTTATAGTTATGTAAAAAGAGGGATGTATTAACTTTTTTCGCCTGAATTGCTCAGCTTGCAATTTATTATAGAGTTTAGTAAATAGCTTTGAGTTTTGCTTTCTTTGAAAGGTAGCATCAGTCTTTTGTGGTGCCTACTTAAGTTGCTTTGCTCTGCAGCAATTGCTTTTTAATGCTAAAATCAGAGATAACGTAAGCAAGAAGGAGAGCAGGCTAATTTAAAATTCTCCATTTGGGTTATATGAACAAGTAATTGATTATGCTTTGATCTTTCTGGTTTTACCTGTCCGTTGAAATCTAAGGTGGCTGGAAACAAAATTGTCCTCATTTCCTGGTAATGGATTAGAAAGGTTCTAATTTGGGGTGCCTTAAACAGATTCTGACACTTTGAGAATGGGTAACAGTGACCGTTTGATTTTTATTTAGAGGGAACAGTTTATCTCAACCCTACTAGCTGAAAGGAGATAATGTCAGCTGAAGTAAAATACCAGAATGGCTTCTTTTTATTACTGCTCAATTTTCCTGAGCATTTGGGGAGGTAAATATCTCTACATCTATTAACTGTACTTTTTAAAAGTTGACTTTTCTCCTCAGGACAATTTTCAAGTGGAGGTAGAATTGGCTGGTGAAAGAGACCTTTACCTCACAGTTTCAGTTTTATTATAAATTGCCCATTAGTGCATTAGAAATGAAGTGAAGGAGTGAGTAGAATTATAACTATTCTTTTATTCTTTTTGTTCTAATCCTGCCACTGAATTTTTCTTTTCTTTTTTTTTTAATATATGAACTCGTATGAAAGATGTTGAAGAAATTGAATACATTATTGGTTAAGTTGTCAGGAATAGAATGATCTTCAAATATTCATTTTTCTGATATCAAAACTGAACAAAGCCTCACACATATTTGGAGTTAAACTGTTTCACCTTGTACATTGAATATAATCTTGCACATCTAAAAAATAGCTGGTAATGTACTCATCTAAACGATGTCATCCTTTTGTGAAGCACATATTTTCTTGAGAGATTAGAGCTTAGAGAATAAAAATTAAGTGACTACTAAAACTTAATAGGAAGGCGGAGTCAGAATGAAAAAAATGGCTGAGGGCTGAAGTCTTTGTTTATGTCAGCTTACATAATCAACACCTTCTCTTTATCAAATTATTGAACACGTGAGTAATAACAATTTTATGATGAAATGTGATATCTTCTAGAGAGCTTGTATATAAATTGCACAGTCTTATGTTCCCAAAGGATGCTGGACCCTTGAAAGAAACACAGGATTATACACATTTTAGAGAGTGGCTAAGTAGCTGGAAAAATTTATAAAAGGAAGCTCACATCAGTGTATCTCTCCTAGAAATTAAACCATTTGGATTCTCGTTACTAAAAATTCTTTGGTAGGAGACCAAGTTTGAGTTATTGTTCAAAATTGGGCTACTGGCAGTGTTTCAAGGGTCAATTCTGTAATTAATCCTTATGTGACTATCTAATTTATTGCTAGTAGAAACAAATAGTCTGGTTCTTTGACACATAATTTAAGGCAGAACAGTCTGGGGCTTCCTTTTCTAATGTAATAGAACTAATGTTTTGTCTTTAGCACAGAGTTTATTGCCACTTCCTATGTAAGGCATGAATTTGTGATTTTTAACTATGATTTTGTTATTTTAAAATTTCCACTACTTAGGTATTCTTTCTCTCTCTCTTCTCTTGCTCTCTCAGAATTAAGTCCCTTTCTAATGTTTTTATTTTTGTCCAAATTATAGATGTATTATATTGTTGGGGAAAAAAAGAAAGAAAGAACAGATTTGGGATGCTAAAAGATAATAATAATACTTGTGTTTTTTTTTTTTTTAAATGTGTTACCTACCGGTTCAAATATGTTCAGGTTTTCGAAAACTAGACCCAAGTTGAGTCAATTCTAGTATTACCAGCATTACCGTAGTTTGAATAGATGACCCAGATCATTCTTTTCTTTTTTATTTTACCTTTTTTGAGATGGAGTCCCACTCTGTCACCTGGAGTGCAGTGGAGTGATTTTAGCTCACTGCAACCTCCACCTCCTGGGTTCAAGAGATTCTCCTGCCTCAGACTCTAGTTGCTGGGATTACAGGCATGCACTGCCATCCCTGAATAATCTTTGTATTTTTAGTAGAAATGGGTTTTACCATGTTAGCCAGGCTGGTCTTGAGACCTAGAACATTCTTAAGCATTTTACATGTTTTCATATTAGCCTAATTTATCTTGATGTTGAGTTCTTCCCTTCTTCTCACAGTGTAAAATATTTGCAAATAATTTATTGCTCAACATTATTTTTCAGCCTGTACTCTGCCAGTGGTATCACTACCATTTTAGGTGAAAGATTTGCTTAACACACCATCATTGTTGTTTTTAAAATTATTTTCATTGGTCATACCAAACAAGTGAAATCCTGTGTAGATTTCTACTACTTTCAACTCCTCCACATTTCAGCACTCTTTTTTAGAAATTTTTGTGATGTTGGAAATTTCCTATAATATGCACTGTCCAAGTATGACACCAAAATCCAGAGAATATGTGCTTTGCATCAGAGTTTTAGAAATAGCTTTGAAGACAATATAAAAAAATAAGTATTGCTGTTCCATTATCTTTTTGCATTCAGAAGTTTTGATTCTAACCACTCTCCCACACTACTAAGGTGTTAATGAAAATGAACACTATTGTTTTCAGGAATCTGTTAAATAATCAGATTGAGAATAGTTATTATCATTTTACATATTAACCCATAAAATATTAAACATATTCCTGTTGCTTTTTTCTGCTGCCGGTTCTACCACCACCATTTTTTTTAGGATGAAATATACACTGGCATACATGGTGTTTATGCATGTAATCTCCACAACAAATGTGGAATACTGAGTGAGCCTGTTATAGATAGAATAACAGCTTCTTTCCTGGCTTCTCTATACTATGGACAAATTCTTACTTTATCTGAATTTAGAAGTACTTGAAATTGCATTCAAATTCAACTTGTAGGGCATTGAATGAGTGACAGTTTTCTCTCATAGGTTTTCTGTATCTTATGAGAAATTTTACTATACAGTCCCTGTATGTACATAGGGAGAACGGATCTGCTTTCACTAAAGCCAGAAGATGCCAGAAGATCTAACTGTAAGATACTTTATTTCTGGTAAAATTGAAAGTTTTTTTGCTTTCCGGAGCTGCCTCTTATTCAGCCATCTTGGGATCCTCCCCCCTTGAAACCTTTTAAGCCTTTTGCCTTTCCCTTTCCTTAACAATTCTTATATATTTCTGTTAAGAGTAAAGCTTGCACTTAGTGGTATATTTTGGAATATGTTGGGATTCTCTGAGAACAATTTTTCTTTCTCCCTTAAATTTTGGATCTGATCTTGGAAAAACAAAATCAAAAGGTTTATCACAGGGGATTTGCGTGATTCAAATAGGATCAAAGTGCCTAGAAACAATAGCTTGGCTAATTGTTCATTGGAAGGACAATGCAGATGTTTAAATAAACATGGAAGTAACATGATTCCAATGAACTGTAGATGTTTCAGAATCAAGAACACAACAAAGACAACAAAAAACCAAAAACTCAAAGCATAGAAACTGATGGTGGTAAACCAAACCTGCTATCTGAATTCATTACAGAAGATAAAAAATAACCTTTTACTAATCTTTGCTGAGAACAGACTAAATGCTCTAAAACAATGTATTATTTTAACAGTTATTAAAAATATGTCTAATTTACATTAACATAATATGTAGTAGCAAATAATTTACATGCTCTTTTTTCTGTGATTCTATTTTATGAGTAAGTCTATCAACTTGCCAAAATTTCACACATGCCATTATTTCTTTTCAGGCTCATTATTTTCTGGTGTTATCAAACTAAGTCAGCTCTCAACTCTTACACAACTTGTACACACTCGAGTTTTATCTTTCACTATAACTTTTCATATTACAAAGCAACCAGACACTTTACTTTGAAAACTTCCTTAATAAAAAAAATTCCACTTGACAAACGAAGAACATATTCCATAGCTTGGTTACATAGTTGAACTTTTCTGCCCCATTGCTTGTATAAAGTATGAAGCACCCGTATGAGTTATAACAGAGAGAGCTAAGAGGTTGATATTTGAGATATGTCTGTCATTTACAGTCATTTTCACAGATATGCAAAGCTCATAAATGCCATCACACAGTCTCCTACGGTCATACTCATTGATATTACACTTTCTTAATGTGGGAAAAGGTACTTATATTATAAGGACTCAAAGATATAGCCATGCTGTAATTCTAATAGGTTAGTGATTAATTTGTCAATACCCTATTTTACTTAGAAATTCACCAGTTGACTAAAAATAATCCATTAAATTGACTCAATTATGTTTAACCTGACTAACCGCAGCACATAATTATTGTTGATATAAAAAAATTTTGGTTGAATTCATAGTTTTATGTCATTCTCAATGCTTTACGTTGTTAGAGAAATGCTAGCAGTAAACTTTTATAAGTTTATAGGTTTAGATTAATTAGTCTCTATGAAGACATTAAACCAAATTTTATTTAAAAAATAATCATAATCTTGGATTATACTTAATATTGGTAAAATCAGGGAAAGATATGTAATGTTTTCAAACAAAAATTATCAAAATTGTCATAGTAATTTAAATATTTACCTCAATTACATAAAACTGGTTTATATCCTTCTACAAAAATGCTCTGAGGTTGCATCTTCTATAAAGATTGTTATTTTTAAAATAAAGTATTAGGACATTTAAATTTTGAAAGTTCAGTAATTTATTTTTTATTTTTGGATTTCTGAGAACATTAAATGAATGTGGTTATTAATCTCCCTAAACAATCATAACAGAACTCATTATTAGAGATATTACTGTATAATTTATTAACACATTGTGGATATAGGAAAACATCTGACATTACAGTGAGAGATGAAGTTCTTTCTAAATTAAATAAACACAGAAACACAGAGAGCTTTCAGCTTCTACAACCCCAGCCTTGGTTCAAGAGTAAACAAACACAAACACTCACTGCTTTAAATGTGAATTTTTTTATTCTTTTTTTCCATGGGTATGAAATATGTTCTTGCACACACAAATCAATACAAGAAACTAACAAGATACAATCTCTGCTGCCTCTCATCCAATGGATACTAGAGAATCGTAGTTAGAGATCACCAAATGGTCAGCAGTAGGATTCACTATCATTGCCATCACCAACTAGGAATAACTTATTTGCTATGTGCACACCAGAAGAAGAACCAAACAAGTAGGCCAGGAACCAGAAATAGCAACAAACACAGGATAAGAAAGAGAAATAGAGGACTCTTATGGAAGGTAAAGTTCTCATATTATTATGTTCTATTGTTTTGGATTGACTCATGCGACCAAAGAAACGTGTGTCTTTGCTTAAATATTTCTAGTAGGTAAGTCACTTCTGGGAGGCATAAGAGTGAAACTTCCAAAACTGTCAAAGAATAGTTATGAAAAAGTTTGAAACATCACACATGTACAAACATAGAATAAACATATATTAAAATTTTAACTCATTAACAAGGAAAATAGTGAGATAGAAAAACTGCTTTAAAGTAAAATCACAGGAACGTGACATTCTGACGTTAATACTGTCCAATAAGGTAATGGAACATTAACCTTTGAGGTTATCATTTCTCTTTGAGAGAAATTTACTATGTAACTTCCCAGAGTCTAAAACTTTAATTAATAGTAAATAGCAAAGTCAAACACAAGTATATTCCCTTAGATAATTAAATAACCGTTTTGTGAGCCTGTCATATAGTCCCCAGTGTATATTAAAAGAACATGCCATCTACTTTTTATTTTTTGCCTCGTTTCCAAGTTTTGCATAATTTTTTGTAGCAGTGCTAACAGAAAAATGTTAGATGTCAACTTAAAAATATTCATGTTAAAATTAGTTTTTCAAAACCTACATAAATAATAAGTTTGACTACTGAGTAGATTATACTTGTCATTTAGTTCATCTCCCAGCAGGTTAAATGGCTTTACCAAGAATCTATAGCTAGTTATAGGGAGAAGAGCGGAAAGATAAATGAGGTGAGATGAGCCTGGAAAATACCCAGTTCTATGTTCTCTCTTTTTTCTGTACTTTCATTGCTCTTTAGTCTATTTCTTCTGATCTCTTAGGACAAAAAATGTATGTGTGTATGTACAGAGCATTCCTGGAACTTAGACCTAAGGATAATTGTCTTGAAACTGCTGACAGGATAAAAACCTCATATAATTAACACTGCCAATCACAATCAGGACATATATTAATGCTGTTTTTGAAAGGCGTTTCCATCTCGTCTGTTGATGAATTTGCAAAACAATTATGATTACATTGACAGTGAAGAGGTATGTATGTGAATGAGTGCCTAGAATCTAGGTGTGTATTTCCCTCTTTGCTGAGTTGAATATTTTAGATGGAATTTAATGGGAACTAGAAATGTCGTGAGTTACTGCCAAAATGTAGTCAACGAATTTTACAAAAAGCATTTCTTTAGAAGCGTATTTTAGATTGTTTTGTTTAGTAATTTATATTTTAGAATTTTGGAAAAACATTATGTTCGATATGATTGAGCTTTCTTTTCTTTTGAACTGTCGTAGAACTTTACTCTGTAATCTTATGTTTTCAGTAAATATAGACTTAAGCAAGACCTTTTTATTTATTTTGCTTAGTTTTTATTTCTTTTCATATTGTTATCAATGTTGTCTGCACCATGTGGGACAAAACCTTTTGAATTTGAGGTTACAGTACAGAAAATATTTTTATGTATCCTGAAATTTTTGTCCAAATAATTTAGCAGTTTTTTTGTTGGCACCACATCTATTGTGTATTAAATACATGGGAAATAAAACAAAATATACATAATTTAAAACTCCAGCTCTTAATTTTTTAATCCAATGATCATCTATTGAAATGGACTTAGAGCCACTAAATCAATTATGTTGAAAGAGAATCTTTTTATTAGGTTTTTATTTATTCCAACCCCTTAACTGGGACATGATTTCTAAAGGAAACATATTTCAAATTGACATAGTGGATTTCAAAATTAATTAAAAATTAATTTTAAAGGATTACTACATTGAGCACTTATGCTGGTAAATCCTTCCGGATAATTTTGTTAAGAAGTTATGCTCATCTGAAGGATGTGTTTCTATTTAGTTTTGCACAATGTATGCCTTTATAACTAAAATGTCATTTTTTAAATGACACATTTGCTTTTTCGTTTTTTTTCTCTTGTCCAATTTACTGTCCATGAAAATACTACTTAGAGTTAATAAGAACAATAAAAATAGCAGACAAAACAGTTCTAAAATATTACCTTTAAAAATAATACATTAAAGAAATTTTAATGGAATTTTCATCACAGGACTTTGCTGGACATGTGTAACTACTGCACATGTGTTAAAGAGGTCCTTTAGGAAAATGCATTGGAAAGTGTTTCATAATAGCACGTAAGATGGATAACCTTGACCAACATACTTTACACGTGACTGTTTATGAACATTTGATTTGCTGATGTGGTGTGAGAAGAAGTTTAAATTTGTGACAGTTTAGTTTGATGTTGGCAAAAAGCACTGCAGAGAAAGTAACACCTTTACTCTTCTAACCTCTTTTTTTAAGATGATCGAAGCTATGCCTTCAGAGTTTCTTTAACTCTAATAAATATATCCATTGTTCCTAATAATTTTCTCCATTTACACTAACATCTATAAGGGTTGATCCAGGTTTTGTGTAGCTGAAAGCTTGTCAAATTTGGAAGCTCCACTCTAGGAAAAATAATTCATAATTTTGGATATACCATTTGGCCAAAAATTAAAATTTGTATAGAATGAGAAAATAAGTCACAGTAAATTATGGAATTTAAAACTTTAACAAATACCATCATGAAAATCCAGAAAAATAGCATATGTGTTTATTATCTTTCTGATATCTCTATAATCTTTTTCTCTCACATTTTTATAGTTTTGTTCTTTGATCACCTAATCATATGTTGAGACTTTTGTAATAGTTTCTAGAAGGAGAATAGTTTCTGTTTTAGCCTGCAATAACAAAACATGTATTTTTTATTTTTGATATTACAGGATAGTTTCCTTTAGCTTTACAACTCATTATTGGTGTGTGATTTAAATTTATAGTATTGCCATTCAATATGGAAGCACTTCCCATCAGATTTCTTTCATATATAACTATAAGGTTTGATATATTTTCTGTAGGCTAACTTACGGATCTGTGCATTTTAAACCTTGTTGCTTTTCTATTACCAAGAATTGTGTATTGCTGGGCACTGTTGGAAAGTTTCTTCTTGGGATATGACCTCTGGCCATTCATTTTCCTGTCCTCACACCTGGTGGATATTTGGAAGCTTTTCCTACACCAGAGTGGCTTGCTGAATGATTCTTTTGGATCCAGTTTTAGTGTGGGTTCTTAAAAGTTTTACTACGCAGTTAGGCAATAATCAAAATTAACACAAATGCATTTATCAAACAAACCCTGTTAACCAGGAGTAAAAGTGTCAAACAGTACAACAATCAAGGCCATTCTTTGTCATGATCAAGAGCACAGAGTCTAGAGTCAAACTGACAAAGGTTTGAGATTGATGAAAGATTATCAGGTGACTTTTTGGTTCTCCTACGTAGTCTGGAAATCAGCATTTGGATCTTTAAACTTTAACATGGGTAGGATACCAAGCATGCTTTAAAGTTATTCTCTTTCCATGCAGAAAGACATAATTTTTAATATATCGTAACATTAATTCATACCATTAATCTGACTTTTTTTCCCTCTGCATATTAAATCATAGAAGCTTCTTTTCACAACAACTTTTGTTGTTGTAATGTTATCCTAATGTTGCTAATCCACAGAACTCTTATGACATCCTTTGGCATCGTCCCTCTCTTTCATTTTAATAATAACTGTTGTATAGAATTTCTATAAGGAAAGTTCTCAACTACCATGATCTTCTTATAATAATCATACTTTCTTCATAGAGTCATAGGAGACATGTCTAGTTAAAGTACCTTACTGAGAAGGTGTGTATTTATGCAAAGCTTTTGAGGGGCTTTTAAAAAGTGAAGCTTTCGCATGATTTGTATAAGAAAGTAATTAGGATATCTATCTAAATGATAATAACTCAATGAGTACAGATTGGCAATTCCACTTTGAAGATTATGGAAAGATACAGATTTTATGTTTTAAAACAATTTTTTAGGAATATCAAAGCAGAAATGTTCTAGATTTGGATGAACAATGATATATTTTGTTTAAAAAGCACGAAATTGCCCCAGATTACCTCTTCCATTAGCAATGTATATATCAAAAATGGTGGAAAATTATTTTTTTACCACTTATCTCTCCTTGCAAAAATAAGGATGCATTAGGACTTTCTTCCCTGCCCTTTACTTTTGTAGTTCTACTAACTGTTCACACAATTATTAAATATGTATAAGATTATATTATTATGTTTTTATTTAGTTGTTCAGTGATGTGGTGTTACATAAAAAGAACACTCGTTTGGGATCAAGCTTAACTGTGTTTTAGTCTGAGCCTCAGTGACCTTATTCATACTCCTTAACCTCTGTGAACTTCTGCTCCCTACACTCCAAATGGGACTAACTATACTACCTTGCCTACTTTTAAGTTTGCCATGAGGATCAAATGACAAAATGCATATGAAAATGACAAGCCAATGTGTCATTCTTGCAATTACCATCATTGGTTAGAAAGATACTGAGCAACAGTTAAACTTTTAAATCCTGTTTTACTTGTGTTTATTATTGATAGAGTTCTTTCTTCATAGGTTATAGCAGAGTTCTCAACAGCAGCGTTATTGATATTTTGGGCCAGATAATTCTTGGCTGTGAGGTTATCCTCTATGTTGTAGGATGTTTAGCATTATCTCTGGCCTCTACGCAACAGAAGCCAATAGCACCCCCCCCACAATATCCCTTGGCGGAGGCAGAATCACCATTGATTAAGAACTAGATTACCATACTGTCGAAAGTCTGAATCAGTTGATTCTAAACAGGCAAAAACAAAAACAACAACAACAACAACAACAAAAAGCTTTGGTTAAAGCAGGAAGCCATTTAAAAAGTGAATATACTAAGCATTTTACTGTAGTTGCATCATACAGAATATGTGGAAGTTCTTTTCCTGAAGTGGAAACCTTTTCTTTGAGTCAAGTCTTCTGACTGGAGTCTCACCTTCTTTTTTCCTAAAACAGTACTTTAATGTGTCTTTTTACACTTCATATTTCAGATTTTAACAGTTGAATGAAAACAAAAAGGCAAGTATGAAGTAATCTCATGGTAGAAGTCATTCAGATTTTGTAATGTTTCTCAATTTGTTGTATGTATCATCCATATATCGACTAATATTAATGTTGTGGCAACTCGTGCTTTTTGAGTGTTTCCAGAAATTTCAATATGATTTTCATTAAAAATGCCAATTTTTTTCACTCACATTGTGTGACATCAGGTTAAAAAGTTACTGACTTAAATTTCTTAGAAATATTGACTAGAAGAAAATATAACAATATAAAATTTAGAGGCGAGTATGAAATATATTTAAAACTCATTAATGAATACTTTAGGTTCATTTGCTTATTTGTACAAAGGAAGCTCGGGTAATTTCAGTACCTATGGAAAGATTTATACATTCTGTAATTAGATATTTTTTAATGCCTGCTGTGATAATTTTCGTAAAAATCTGTCTTAATGTAACATTGTTAACACATGGGTAATAACAAGTACTTACTGACTTTGTCTTCCTTTTCCCCCATTTTATACACAATTCGGTTAATGACTATAGATTCAGACAACAGTGGTATATGTGGTAGCTCATGCTGTGCACTAGTATGCTCAGTTTAATGATAGATTTTTTAAAAAGGATAATTGCAAAGTTTATTTGTCCTGCACAACATCACTGGGAATACTTTGCAAAGTTTTCAGGGAAGCAGAGAAAACCGAACTAAAGATAACGGCCTCAGACCCCAGATAGATTTTTACTGTCATGGATTTGTTAACAAAGTCAAAATAATGAGTAACTGACAAGGACTCTTTAAGGTCTACCCAGCTAAAATGAGCAGTCAGTATTTTACATATTTCACATGATAACTCATCTATCATATTTTACATGATAACTTAAGACCCTGTGGGTGCAGGTATGCATATTCTCTTTTATTACTTTAATAAATATTATAAAGCCACAACATGATTTAATTTTAGCTCATTACTAAACTGAGTATTAGGAGAGCATTTAGAATATAACTTCTTACAACTACAGAATATTTTTAAATGTATTATCAGTATGAAATACTTAGTCATCTATTTAAAAATATAAGTTTATTAATGGATTTACTCTGTCCCAGTTTAGGTCAGTTACCTTAAAAATATGTTCATTTGTCTGTTTTTATTAATGCTACATGCCAAACTAATGACATGTAAAGTCATAGAGAAAAGAGATTTAGCATTTGATTTAATTTATGTTTCATTGCAAAATGCACAGATTCGAGTAATCTCAGTTTCGTAAATTCTTTCCACATTAAATACTGAACTAATTCTGACTTTTTAACTATACTTGTTAACGTTACTGCATTAAGTTTTTGAATCTGTTTGGATGACTCCCAAAGAGAAGTTTAGTCTTTGAGAAAACCAGATCTCCTTTGCTTCCATGAAGATCTTAGTAATATTTAGGCAATAGAGAGTAATGAAAAGAGCTTGAACAGTGAATGTGTCTTTGTCTTCTAGCTATCATTCTCCCCAACGTATTCTGTGTGCCTGAGAAACTTACTTCATTTCTCATGAGTCCTCAACAAATTTTTCTTATACAGCATATGCCATCTTAATTATCTTAAGCATGTATGTGATCACCGCCAGAGGTTCCTTTCTAATCTTAGGCTGCAATGGTCTTTGTCATACAGGAAAAATGTTTTTAAAAACCATCAAAATGTATCCATTTTCCTACATTGGAATCGATATATGGCACTATAGAGATCTTGTGATGGTAGAAGTCATGTATTTGAACATGAGAATATTAATGACAGCTTGTAACCACAGTCATTCCTTATCGTATCCTAAGAAGTAAGTTTAGTTATTAAACTGTTTTTGTTTGTTTGTTTGTTTTGCTATGTCTTGAGTTTATTTGAAGGGTTGAAGTATTTGGAATTGTGTCACGGCATAGTTCACTGCAAAATTAAATTAATTTATATGAATGAGATATGGCATCAGTATGGTAAATTCATTTCATTGTTCAAAATACCTTTTGCGTGTAAGATTTAGTTCTATTAATAATTCAAGAAAATTTAAAAAATAATTCATTATACATAAAAAAAAAACTACTAAAAATGCAAACATCTTGGGATAGACCATGGGGTAAGAAAGAAAGGAGAATGTGTGTTTTATACTTAATTATATGCTCTTATCTAATAAAATAAATATATGCTTTTAGCTAATAAAAGAGGTATAGTGATATTATTCCCATTTTTCAGTTAACGAAATGGAGACATAGAGTAATTATGAAACATGACACAGCTGACAAGTGACAGAGCCATGATTCAACTCAGTGTAGCTCAGAAATCCCCTCATTACTGTGTTACACTGACTCTCAACTAAAACTAGTTCAGGGAATAGGCTTATAGGGTGTTTAAAGTAGTCAGTTTTTGAACATAGGGCCATGTCTTTGTTATTCTTTCTGTCTAAAGTGAATATTGTTCTTAGAAATCAAAGAAGAGAATATCTTAGAGAAGGGAGTAGATTCTCTCAGTCATTGGGAGAATAGACTCAAATATGCCTTGCAATAGGTGTTGTTAGATAAAATGTCTCAGGTTGTGTATCACACTTGACCTACTATGATGCAATGACATTCTTTAACTTAGACATCGTGTGAATACTCCTTGTGTTCACTAAGAGGACGTATAGGCTTTTGTTACCTAGGTCATAACAGAGAAGCCTTTGTGTACCCTAATCTGACTCTGTAGCTACAATTACATATCATTTTTATTTCTTTCACCCAGCTCTTTGTACATACAACTTAAATATATATATATATATATATATATATATATATATATATATATATATATACACATATATATATATAATATATATATCTTATTATTATATATATATTATATATATATATGTATATATATAATATACATATATCTCACAGGACACTGTCATCAGAAGTCACCAATAATACAGGAGTGTGCCATTGAGAGGATTAGGAGACTCCAATTTCTGATATGAAAGGTGAACTATAAGAAAACCAGAAATGGTTTTCTGGCCCAAGAGTTCACAAACCTTTTCTATAGTAAATGCTTTAGTTTTTGAGTCACATGGTATCTCTGAACTCAACTGCGACATTGTAGCATGAATGTAGCCATACATAACAAGTAAATGAATGGGTGTTACTGGTATTCAATAAAACTTTTCTTACAATATAGACATTGGCTGTATATGATCTAGCAACCATAATTTACCAACCTTTGCTCTGTTAAGTAAAAGCCTTTAGAATGGATAGAAATAAGATGGACGTAGCTCACACAACAAAGCACTTCTTGTCTATTTATTTTCTTCACAAGAAGTCTAAGGTATGAGCACCTAATTGCAAACTACACCAAGTTCACAAAGGAGATCATAATGTAAATAATGGAAGAACAAAATATGGTACTTAAAAATGGTTACCAAAAATAGAAGTTTGTGGGAATATGGTGCAACAAGAAAACACCAATCATTCTCCCGTATGCTGCAGTTTGGGATTTTGTTGACATTGGCATTTCATCTTTATTACATGGATTTAAGACAACTGAATTCATGTTAGTTACATGATATTTACAAAAGTTTAATTTAATTTCTGTTCAAATACTTAATATTATGAGTTCCTGCCTACATTTCAAATATTCCCAAAAGTATGGAAGTAAGATAACAGGCAAACTGAAACAATCTTTTTTGAAAATATTTTTGTAGCAGGTTTCTGTAAGAAAGTGTGAGTACAAGTGTTTACATTTTATGTTGTTAGATTCACCACTAGATTATGACTATCTTAAGAACAGGTCCCATGCCTTATTCATTTTTTTTTTTGTCATTGTCATTCCCCATAATAATACTTGGGACAAAATAGTTAAAAGTTTTTGGAGATGAAATAGTAAGTATAGTTCTCCTGTATATGGATATGTTTTTTCTGCAATAGTAAACCGATCCCATTAAGACATACAGTTAAGACATATTTTTGTAGGCAAGTATACAGTAGTCTTACTTGACTATGTATTTATGGAATTCAATATTTGCACACACAAACTTTGATGGAATAAGTTTTCACAAAAATCTAGGGGTATAATAGATAATGCCAAATAAATAAATGTTCATATATATAGTAGTTAGTTGGTGGTGGAGACAGATAAAATATATAGTATTTTCTGGCCAAAAATATGTGATTCATTGAACTTTTTCACTCATGAACATGACTATTTTAGCTCAAAAGAAAAAAAACAACATAATTTTCTATTTTTCACATTCATTTTAGAGGGAAGAATGATATAGTTATTTCTAGAAATAGTTGTCTTAAGAACAATGAATTTCTTCTCTTTATAATAGGGTCCATTTTAGATTATGTTCATTTATGTCAAATTCATGAAGAGACAGGCGAAGCTTTGAATTTAGTGTCTGCAGATTTTCATTTTCATTTTCAAAACAAACTATTTCCTAAGGAATGCAGATTTTTTTTAAGGGCAACTAAAATCTAAAAAAAATGTTCTCCTTTTTTGTCCTCTTATTGCTTAAAAAAGTACGTGAACATACTGTTTTTAAATTTAGGCTTTTAAAAAATTGTCCTCATGCTGAGTTCTTGTTTGCCAAGTTTCAGCTTGGAGAGAATCTTTATAGCTTTTATAAAACCCTGAAAATAGAAAATTTTAAATGGAAATCCTTACACACCCTTAGTGACGGCCACAAATCTTGCCACTTTTTGAGAATGAAGGTAATTTTTTAGTATTTAAGGATGGTAGCAACAAGTTGATGTGATAGTTTCTAAAGGGCAGAGCTTTTGTTTAGTTGTGTGTTAGATATGTTACACTGGTTTATCATATTAAGATTTAGCTGTATGTTCATACATTTTGTATGTGCTATAACAATTTTAAATTTTAGAGTGCATTTGTCCTCCACCAAATATAGTTTATATGTAGAAGCATGTTTTATCCATCTTTTTGACATGTCACCTATTATTTAACTTGACTAATGATTTAACTGGCAAGTGATTCACCTTGGAAGTTAGATTTGCTGAAGTTGAATAAGCTGTTGTCCTCTCATTTTTATCAAGGGTCAGTTGCCCTTTGGGAAACCCAGAATATGTCAGATCTTTGTCAGGTTCCAACTCTGTCATGGGGACTAGAACCACAGGTGTCACTTCCAAAATTGATAACTTGTTATACTGCAACCAGAGTCAATTTTAGACCGGGAACAGAAAGAAAAAGATTGGAAATGATTGAAGCTTTGGGCACAGAGAAAGGGCAGTGTTGGGAAGAGAGTGAATGACATAGACAACCAATAGCAGGGAGTTGGTCATTTTTTCATGCACCAAAACAAAATTGAAGAAGGACTGCTGACCAAAGGCCAATAAAGTGCACACATATAATTCCGGTTAGATTGTCTCCTAAGAAGAATATTTCTCAGCAGTAATATGTATTTATTTTGAGCAATATCTGATCATACAGCATTTTAGTAAAGTAGAAAATTTATAGACATCTACTAAAATTTATTCTAGCAGATAATCCACATTGAAAGAGGCAAAAGTTCGTATTTTACCTAGAACCTGTCTGTGGCTCCTTTTCTCCACCAGAAAGACAATAATTTCATATTTGGCAAAAGGTAATGCTTTTTAAGTTCTTGACATGTATACTCGCTGGAAGAAGTGACCTAAAAGGAGAACCAAATAGTTTGATAAAGGACAACTGTAAAGGGCAAACAGACAAACAAAAGTCTGTAAGACTAATAGTCCTTGAGACAAGCACATGAATGAGTGATGAAATATTGCTTTACTACATCCTGAAAATTCTTCACATTTATTTCTTCAGTTGAATGAAGCTTTCTAACATCTGTGTCTGGAAGTAATTCTGATAACCTTGACATTCAAAATGGAGATAAAGGATAGATAGCTTCCCACAAAATGCTTCAGTATGGCAAGAGGAATTATCTAATATTGATAAATAAAGCAACGTGACATCTGTGTTGAATTCCAAATTGACTTGTTGAGCTGTGTAAAAAGGTAAAAGAAGGTGCTTGTTTTAAAGATGTGAAATACATTGGGAAAAGCCAAGGTCAAAGATGAAGCATAACTCAATGCCAAAGAGTTTCAATCTTAATGAAAATCTCTTTCAATAAGAAATTGACAATTGAGAAACAGTGTCATTGTTAGAAGTTCAACATTCTTTTGGGGATCTAATAGACAAATCCCCAGAGAGCTGACTTGTATTAATAGATAGCTTAAAATTTATAGTTTAGGAAGAACAGACTAATAGTTTTTGGAGTAAAGCCTGAATTATAGAGGGATGACCTGAGCCCTGGCGTGAGTGATCAATCAGTTGAGTGTCTGCAACTGCACAATTTTAAGAACTCTTAAAAGGTTCTTTGACCACTGAAAATGCATTATAAAGAATAAGTCCATGACCAGCCAAGTCTGGAATATATGTTTGTATTGCTATACAGATCCACTGTTTATTTAAAAAGTAAAGTAAAAGGTATGACACAGGTTGCTTTGCTGCCATGGATGATTGAATTGAACTTTGAAGGATAAGTGGGATGTCCTGGGTAAAATGTGGATGCTGGAGGAGGATACACAGAGGCTAATTTGAATCCATGAGATTTTTCCATTAAGGAAATAGAGTTGGAATTAAAGACGTAAAAATCTTGAATACCAAGCTAAGAATTTGAATTTAACTTGTTATTCAGGGTGCAGCCATTGACGTTTTCAAATGAGAAAAATGCTTCATGCAGATTAGTTATACTGCAATATTGGCAGGAAAGGTAGAGATCAGTGGGAAAAGACCTCTGGAAACCTGTTGAACAGTGAGTACTTCCAGGGTAAAGCTACAGCAGGCAGGACAGCAGAGTGGTGGCCTAGGCACTGTATATAAAAGCAAAGATGAGACACAGATGGAAGGAAAATTCCTAGGGTCCCGTGAGACACTGGATATTGAGTGAGAGATAATTCAAAGAATGAAGAGTCACTGATGTCTCGAGCTCAACTTACTAGGACATCAACGGGTTCCTTATTTGTTTTCTGTAACTCTCAAAGTGGATCAACTTCTTTCAAACTTCTCTAGTGGAAATTCTGTTTTGGTTACTTTTCGTCTCTGAAAATGATAAGAACAGTAATTAGCCATGAAGGAACCACTTACTGCATTGCAGATGATTAGACAATTGACAATACCAACAAAAATTGAATTGGATTCTTTAGGTTTAATATTTAGCCTAAACTAGCATATTTCACCTGCTCTGTGCCACGCTCACTGCTGATTCCTGAGATATTCACTGAACCCTTCCCCACACTTGGCAGTGAGTTCCTTGATGACAGGTATTTATTTTTTATCTGTCTCCATAACCTCAGCTCTTAATTCCATTCGTAGCACTTAACAGATGTTCTATATATGATAATTAAACGATAGAAGCCTAGTGTGATTTTCCAGCTTTGCCTGGAATAGGTCCTGCTCCAATAGGAACTCCTCTACCTCTTTAAAGAGATAAAATAAGGAGTTCGGCTTCAGGGAAAACACCTTGTAGATTCCATTTATCATTACTTTTCTAGGTTGTTGTCATACAGTGAAAAAAAAAAAAAAAGCTGACACATTTCTTTCCAGCCTTACACAGTAACACAGTATAAGGAGCCATAGAGAGGAATTTTAAGGTAGGAGGGGAGTATTTGATTGTTCAATATTTTTGTTTAATTCAGGAGAAGGAAAGCCCCAAATGCTACCTAAACATAAACTCACAATTCAAAACATTTTAGAAATTATCTGGCAACTTTACATAGAGTCCAAGTATTTCCAGGTTATGCTGAAAGATGCCTCGAAGTTTAAGTACCCCCAGGGAAAGCATATCAAAGGTTAGAGACCATTTAGACTCACTTCCAAAAGGATCTGGCCTCAGAGTTTTGCAGTAGTGAGCAAAAATTCTAGAAAGGTCTAGGTTCAGAAACCATAGCAAAGTTGCAAGAAAAAGGTTTCCTAGCTTCTGTTTCTTATGCCATTCAATAAGATTTAGAAGGAAATGCAGCCAAATTTAATGGTCGTTACCTGATGAAAAACAGACATCCTTTGGATTATCCTCAAGCAGAACTGAACAGAACTAAATGCAATTAGAAGAATCCACGGAGGCCAAGTTGATTGAGGAAAGCAAATGGATACAAAATATAAGTTCACTATGTTAGGTAACTCAAGTGCTTTCAACTTGGTGTTATAAGTGAGGCATTAGAGAAATTTACTTTACTCAGCTGAGGACAGTACCACGACAATATTTGACAGGAGGTATAGAGAATTTTTATTTCAGTCAGCTCTAAAAAGAATGGTGAAATTCTTGAAGCTGTGTTTGATGATTCTCTATTAATATTCTTTGTTCAGTCTTTAAAATGGCATTTATTTCTCAAAGGAAAATTTTGACATCGCTATTGATTCCATTGCATTTGTGATATACATCTGGTTTTATATTTGAAGTGAAAAATTCTTTGTATGTCTTTGTAGTAAATACAGATTTAGTTCTCATTGTGAACCATGCAGTAATTTCTACATGAACTGAATTTCTACATCCACTGGGCATATTGGCTTAATTTAAATAAATATGTTAAGATGGTCGTTACTATTCAAGAGAAGCCAATGTTTTGCTTTTTTTAAATTGTAAACAGGGAAGTTGTTAGCATTTTTTTCAAGGAACAAAGAACAAAAAATATCTTGATAAGAACTTGTTTCTGGAAAGCTAGATTAGCTCTTCTCTGCACACCAATCATGGGATGACAGTACAATTTAGTGACTTAAGCAGTACATTAGGATTCTCAGCGTAGGCAGGAGCTTCACCCTCGGGCCAGACCTATATAGTAGTTGTAAGAAAATGATTTATGTGTTGTAATAAATGTTACTTCTCAATCTGTTTGCTTGTTCAATGGTTGAGGTCCCAAAAGAAAAGGTCTATCTCAAATTAGGACTGGCATGTATTATCTGTCAACTTTATATAGTACCGTAAAAGTCATTCAGCTGACAGTAATATTAGGGGAATGTTTTATAGATTTTTGTACTGTGTGAAGCTTTGTATGGGTGACGAGAGCCTTTGGGTCTGTGGTGCTCTGTGGTCCGGGATAAAGTTGCGTGTAGATGAGTTGTTTCTGTGCTTCTCTGTAAATGAACATCTGGCTCACATATTGATTCCATGTGTGAAAATGAGATCAACCCTTATAATGACCAGAGTCAATCAGGCTTCAGCCGAGGACTAACGTACACTGGTCTTGATTTGTTAGACAACCAGAATTGGCAGCACCTTGCATAATTTGGCACCAATTGACAAAGATTAGGCTGTTTGGGGGCCTGGATGGTTATTAATTTGAAACCCCCCTTAAATATTTTGCAGAGTAAAATCAGCTGTAACTTATTTGTTCCAGCCCCCTTCTTCTCATATGAGCCCTAATTGTTTTAGACAAACGAGCGAGCTTGCAGCCTGTTCACTTTACGCAGGAAGACATGAATTCTTTGATCCATACAATATTCTTTAGCTCAACCTCGGAGCTATTTACTGAGGAGATTTATTTGCAGACAGACAGTAGAACAGTTCTTTGTGAATAGAAATGAGTACCGCTTCTATGTGTTTTCAGCTCAAGTTTCTGCTACTTATTGTAAGGGAGATGAAACTGAGCCATTTTTATTTTTAACCCAAATCATTCTATTTTAAATATAGTTTTAAAAACTGGAATGAATTAGACTCTCAACCTTTTTGTTTTTTCCTCATAGGTTATATTTAATAGAGCAGAGATTGAACTCAGAGAATACCAAATACAATTTCTTATTTTGTGATTTGTGTAACCATGAAGAAAACCTTGCGAGATTTAAAAATGGAACAGGTGTTGATTGTAGACATTTTACAAATGTTTCTCACTCCTTAATTCCAAACACAAATAAAACTACCTGTGTTGTATGAATGCTGGTTAGTTCAAGAAAAGCAATAGCTGTAATCATCAAAAGGTACTTTTAAAAATTATTACTGACAAGTAGTTTTAAAGATATAGACTCATTTACTTTGAATTTAACTAGTAATATTTAGGTACATATCTAAACCAATATTTAATTTTTTTCTCCAATTAAATGAGAGTTGTTTGAACAGTCTAAATGCTTCACATATATGCACCAAGCAATGTAATAGTAACAATAACAAAACAGTTCTATAACTATGTTTTTTTTTATAATACCATAAGACATGAATTCCATTAAGACTATTTGATTTCTGCTTACCACAGAAGAGGAAAAATGAGTTTGATCAACAAAATCAGTTCTAGATATGGTTTTCAATTCTCAATTAAATTTGACAATGAATTACTCAAATATAGTCATTTCAGAACATAATTTGCTGGACTTCTTGATAACCAGTATATGAAAAGTCACTCCCCTGTTTTTATTTTTTCCTGCATGTTTTTTACCCCATTTTTCCCCTACAGATTTGAAAGTTGTACTTAAAAGTGTGTTTCTTTAGGAAAAAAATTTCAGAATCTTCTGATTGTATGCCCTGGTCTCTTAGGTCATTAACATTATTTATAGAATTATTTCCTTTATATTTCTTCTAATTTAATTTTTCCAATAACTTTTAGAAACCTTTGAGTAGCATCATATAAATCTTTGTAGTTTATTAACAAGATAGTTTTCATTGCAAATAAATATATTTTGACTCCAGAAGAAATAATGGTAATTAAATGTTTTATTTTCCAAAATATGTTTTTAAGTTATAGATTAATATTGACTTTCAAAGCCATTATAGCTTTGAAGTTTTTCCCCTTCTACCCATATACAACTTTCGAAATTAGGAGATATAACTTTTAAAGGAAAGCATTTCAAACACTTAAACACACACATTAAGAAAAGAAAATTGTAAGCTTTTAAGTCTAAACATTCATTCCATCTATACATCCTACATTTTCTGTCTTTCAAATTGCCACCAGAAGTCTTAGGACCTGACTTTGGTAAACAAAAATCTCATGAGCTGTGCCAAATGCTTTACAAGATCATTTTGCAAAAATTGTGAGTAAATACATTGGAACCAAATGCATTCCTCTAGTGGTTAGGTTATTTGTTATTTGTAAAAATTAAAAGGGTTAGAAGAAAGTTTTAGAGAAAGAATGCTATATATAAGTAGAAATTGGTAAACCAGAAGGCTTTATAATTTCTGATCATTCAATGACAAAGTCACACATAACACTATTACATAAGGTATACTATAAAGGTGTTATGTGACAGTTTAAAAACTAGTGAAGTGTGTGGTTGCCTCAAACATGAAAAAAATTTAGCACATGGGGTTTTGCATCTCATTATTAGCCACAGGGAAGAATTCTTGTATATTAAAAATATTACCACTGTGATTTCAAAAGTAAGATCAAGTACTCTTATTGGAAGGTGTGATAATTTACTGTCTTGTCCAAACTGTAAGTAAAACCATGTTAACATACCCAGTACTTAACCATGGATTTTGTTATATTTCAAACATGGTGTAGACACCTTTATATTTCACAAGATACTTCTTTAGTTGTATTTTATGTACATTTGTTAATTTGGTATAATTCTTTCATTGAAATCATCAATAAATACTGATTGATAATGACAACATTCAGAGAATTCTACCAGATTCTACAGAGAGCTAGGAAAGGACTGTCTTTTATTTATTTCACTCTTATTTATACAAGTGTTTGTTTGATGTGATATGTTTTTAACCAGAATGACAGATGATGTGGTTTTCTGTATGAATCTGAAGATATATATGCTGTGTCTGATAAAAATGCCAACCAAAGTCCTTCCCATGGCTGCTATGCATTAAAATAAAATGTTAGCCTGTGATGATGGTGTTACAGTGAGATATTTTCTTATACCTAAACAAGAGTTTTCATTTTATTTTCTTTATGACATAATCTTAATATATTTTAACTAGCAAGTTACAGAATGAATCCTTCTTGTTAAAGGTCATATATTTTCAAAAGCAACAACCTTTGTGGATTTCAGAATAAATATACCTAACATTATTATTTCATGGAAAGTGACTCAAAGCTATCAAATTAACTCATAATCACATGGCCTGACTTATAACTATTTCTTTTAACAAGATTATTGAACCTGCTTATTCTACCACTAACAAAAAACAAACAAACAGAAAAAGCAAACACACATACACAAGTGTGGTTAAAGGTAGGGTAGGGCAAGGGCCAGTTCTCAGTTGGGTACATTAGGTTGTGTGCATGAGGGCAATGACTGATATAAATTAAAACAAATAAGTCATGTTTTAATTTCAGGGGAGTTGTGAATTCTCTGAAATAATCTGAACTTTATTTTTTGGGCAGCAAGAATCACAGCTCCCAATCTTTGTTCCAGGCATGTACCATTCTATAATTGATTTACAAAAACTTTGTGGACAATGATTGCTGTTAAAGTAGTCCCTCAAACACTCTAGAGATTCTGTACTCATCATGCCTAGCTCTCATTCCCCTTGTCCTTGGGCACCTATGCCCTGTCTGTAATCCTTCTTCCTACAAGACAGGCTAAAAACAGACTAAATAATATATATTTTAAATAGTCTAAGTAAGATGTAATACAGTTCTGAAGTTGGAGCGTTGTAGTGGAATTGAAGCCTCAGCACTTGGTAACGAATTGGATGCCAGCAGGAAATGAGACGGGTTTGGAGAATAAAACAAGAATACAGGGAAGTTAACCTGCTTTCACAAGACTGTAAGCAAGTTGTATGGGAAGTATGTAGAGCACAGTTGAGCAATCTAATGAAATGCACATTTGGAGATTTTACACATGCCCTTTGAAAAATATGTAAGTTATTGTCTATAATAATAAAATTGCATAATTTTCATTCACAGTCACAGTGATACCATATAAGGGAATAGCATGGTTTTCAATACGGTAACAATTTGCTGTTTGAATTATACCATTACCATATTAAGAAAGGAATGTTCATTCTATTGTATCAACTCAGAAATAATTCCAGGATCAATCAAGATGATGACAAAATGTGTATTACACATGGGTTTGCATCTTTGTTAATACATGAATACTTGTTGCTCTCCTTCAAAGTTATTTTTAAACTCTTAATTTTGTCAATGTTATAATTTTT